CTATGAAATGCTTTATGGGATTCGCCTCCTCTGCATAAGGTGTTGGTGGGGATTGCTTTCATTCCTATTGGATTCTGAAGAGAACCCCTGTACTTGCCACTGGGTTTGTAATGGGGGTCCTCTCATTCTTACGAGATTCTTATTAGAAGTCCTCTCATTCCCACTACTCATTTCCATTTGATTCATCAGAATTATTCTCATTCCCATTAGAGTCTCTGACTAGAAGTCCTTTCATTCCCAAAAGATTCATAATAGACATCCTCCCATTCATTAGCATTGTTGTGAGTAGATCAAAAGGTAATTCCCAAATAAACCCAATTGGTCCATGGCACATAGGGGTTATATAGGGGGTATATAAGGATTATATAGGGATGGGGTCCAGGGTTTAGGGATTAGAGTTTAGGGTTTGGGGTTTCCGAAAATTCGGGGTGCCATTTTGAGGGTCCTCTTAATCAGGACGATAATATTTTGGGGTCTATATTGGCTTTCCCCCTATTAAGGGGAACTACCATTTCCGTTGGAATGCGCAAACTGCCATGGGCATTTCATGGTGTTTGTGACATCATCTCGCAGAAACCAAAACCCGGACTCCGTAAAGAGTTCCTTCATAGACCGGCTGAGCAAACCTGCGTGCGAGAAATTCCCTTTTCAACTAAATTGAGCCTTTTGAAGGCAAGTAGCAGAGGATCCCACAAAGGCGGCCGCCACCGGCGTAGCAGCAGCGACGTTCATTTCTGCGGGTGCCGCGGATGCTGCAACCTGGGATGCCGCTGGTGGTGCAGCCGCCGCAGAGCCCCCGTACGGCAACGATGAGTGGTGGAGGCAGATGCGAACCTTTCCATCCTCGCGAACTGGAGGTGAAGTTCTAGTCCCCCTTAAGTAGATAGAATATGGGGTATATGAGGATCTCATTATAATATACCCAAAGCAGTATTCTATCTACCTAAGAGGGACTATAAGTCATGATGCTTTGGGTTGCTTCTGAAAAAATCAAAGGATGTCCTGGATTTGGGTGATGACAACTTTTCCAACATCTTTCACAATCATGTGTGTGTCTGTGCGCGCTTTGGCTTGGCAGGCTCCACTGGGGATATCCTTATTCCTTTGCTTGGCATAGAATCCCTATATAATCCCCATAATCCCTATAGTTTCCAATTTATTTTCCATGATAACAGTATAACCCCGCTGAAACCATATATACACCCAAATATACTATTCTAGTTTCCATCTTCTTTGCCATCATCCCAACATTACCCAAAACAACAAGGATGAAGCTGAGCAAGAACAACACGGTACAACGAGGCTCCTCGCACTTCTTGTAGCCGAATGTGTACTCCACCTTGCTGATGCTTCCATCAGCTGCGCTGGCCTAGAATTTGTTTGATGTACTGCTTCAATGTGACAATTTGTGTGTACAATGGGTTCGAGTACATGGAAAATCTAATCAACAAGCAAGTGGCAAAGAAGTAGTTTCCCATGGCAATGGCCACATTCCCGTTCAAGTCGACCTGGTGGTTGTCAAAGAGCACATCCGACCAACCCTTGCCGCCATTGATGGCAAAGCCATGGTCCTCCGAGATCCCATCGGGAACAGCTTCGGCCCCGACAAAGTAGGACATGGCCTGGCTGGCTTCAGGGCGGAACTGTACTTCCGCAGCCTTGGTTGGCTTGAAAAGCACTTTGCCGTGGCCATAGCCGTAGAGTTCACCGGCTGCCTTAGCAGCTGCCGCCACATAGTCTCCGCCACTCAAATAAATCTTCGAGATCGTCTTGATGGCCTGTGCCCACGCTGCTTGCGCGGCTTTCACTTCTTCCAGTGTCACTGACATACCCGAAGCAGGGCCAGCTCGGGTGGCAATTTTGGAGCGCTTAGCGCGGGCCAAGAGTCCAGTTGCGGTGGCCACGGCCGAAGCATACATGGCAGCTGAGCCTAGTCGGGACATGAGGCTAGCCTACGAAATCCGCCAACCGAAAATTATTGTGAACATTATTCCCTTCAAATCCAAGCGGCCAACAGAGCTGCCTCGAGTGCCTGTTGTGAATGTTGGGCTCTGCACTTGTGCCGCCACTGCGGCATGGGACAAGGTCGACGGTTTCTGTACCGCGTTGTGTGGAGCCACAAAGCCAAGACCAAGGGTCGTCATCACACCAAGGGCACCCACGACTTCGACTTTGGCTGTCTTGGACCTGGGCTTCAGTGCAGAACAAGCGAAACTTCTTGCAGGGTGATCCGTAAACAAGATGCTTGGGAAACAGGACCGACTGTCCTACCTAAACCCTAAACCGGAACCGCCTTCAAAATACTGTCTTTCCACCTGTGTTGACTACCAGAATTCCAAATTCACCAAGCGGCATCGTGCTGGGTGTCCAAATTGGGAGTTAATCCACGACCGAAGCTGGGGCGAAAGGCGCTTGAGCCCAGTCGAAGCAGTAAATCAAAAATGGGATATGGTATGTTGATTAATATAGTATGGCAGGATGTCTAACATGACATCTTACAATGGAATGTTACATCTTATTTGGGTTCAACCGTCATGGGGAGCTAGGGGGTAAGGCTGGGGCCTGTCAGGGGTCACCGCGAAAATGAGGTTGGTTAATTCTAAATATCTGGGTCCGAGGTTGTAAACAAATGTCCGATTCTAAAACTCTATCACTCATGTTCATTTGACGTTAGAACGTTTGCCTTTTGAGAGCTAGCTTGATAATCACTAGCCCAACAGCGGTGGCAGCATGTCGGTCGCCGACAGTGGGAAGCAAACGCTATTGAATCTCTATATACATGTAATTTCCATGTCAGTCTCCATCATGAAATTACTATCCCCACATGGTAGTTTCTCAAAAAAGGGGACCCCGGTATAGGCCCCAAAATACCATGATCCTTATTATGTGTGCCCTCCTCCCCCCCGAAAAAATATCCATAATTTAGGGGAGCCCTTATATATATCCATCCTCAACCATAAGACAAGATCCGCTGCAACACCAAAGCATAGCTTGGCCTCCCCGCCCACCGCGAAGGAATCCCTTCCGTGGCCACGCCATGGCTGCCGCAACTACCTGTGAATGTGCCGTATATATACTATAGCATACCATAATATACCCATTATCGTAATTTCGATGTTATTTTCCATTATCTATCCCATTTGACAAGTCACTACTGGCATCGATGATAAGAATCATAAAGGACTGCAATGTAACATCTGATTATGACTTGGGATGTTGACTACCAAGGCTCAAACACGCTGACTCTCTGCCTCTCATCAGCTAATCTGATATGGCGCGAATCAAGAAATCTTCCATGCAGCTCAAGTATTGGATCTATAGAAAAGCACACCTAGCAGGCAAGGGACCAAAAACCCAGAAGGTGTTGTTATGGCTTCCCTTGCAACCACTTGAAGGTCACCTTGAACCATATTCTACTTGCGCGTGTTGCAAAAAGGCGCGGCAAGGAGCGGGACAAGTATATACCAGAAATCAATCAAAATCACATGTGCGCACAATTCCAGTCATGTTCTCCGGAGGAAGCTTGCCGCTGCACCCGAAGCTTTGACAAACATCAACATGGCAAACGTGACAATGGGAAGCATGATAACATTCAACATTGCAGAACAAATGTCGATTCATCACATGCTCTGCTCAGGAACATACCACGTGAAACCAGAAACACGTACCTGGCATCCCAATAGGGCCAAATAAGGTCATCTGATAAACGCTTTTGTGGAATTTTGTTGGGTTCCATGATAGTTTTGTGAGAGCGCTTGTGGTGGAGTGGATAATTATAATCATGCCCCAGTATTCCCCTACAAGAATCCCGGTGTTCCCACCCTCAAGCACCAATACATAATAGCGTAAATCGCGTTGCGCGTCTGGCCGATCAGAAAGGTTCTACATGAAGAATTTTGCAAAGTGGGGTCCCTCGAGAGACCCTAAGGATATGCGTATGTGTACATATATACATATAAAGCAATTCAGAAACTAGCCTGCCACGAAAGGTTATGACGGGGTCATGAGTTGAATGCCCTGGTTTGACATAAGATCTCAATCAACCACGACAATCCTGCAGAACCGTCGTATGATGATGCCAGAACACCTTCCAAAACCCAGCTCTAAAGCTTCAACTCAACACCGTAAAAGTTCCATCCTTGGTCCAAGTTTAATCGTTGACTGCCACGAGATTGCGAACATTGAAACTTCACGTAAATTGCCTCTCTTTCAAGCATTGGCGCACTTTGCTGAACCGCCCAGCGCCATCGCAGATGTTCCGGTCCCCACCTGTATATGCCTCAAGCTCCTCTTGTTTCCCATGCTACATCCAATGCTCTCGGTAAGTAGCACCTGGTCCACATTGCTTTTCCCGAGAACTCATCAACCACCGCGCGTTTCGCGGAGACCTCGCGGTCTTTAGCGTGAACACTAAAACTGTGATTTTGAATAATGCTTTTCTGGTTCCGCAGCCCTTCTTCGCTCCCAACATAAAACACACACGCAACACACTGAACAATGTTGCCGTCATTAGACGCCCACTTGGACGCAAAGCAACTGGCACTGGACGCCAGTACACACGAAGCATCGAACTCCTTCACGACAATCCCGCAAGAATGTATCCTGCAAGTTGGGAGAAAGACGAATTATACCCCTCAGTTCCGGCAAGAAGTTTCCTGCATGTATAATCTTGCAAGATAGGAGAAGAGACAATCCAGCAAAGTCCAGCAATATCCAACGGGGTTTTTTTGCTTTGCTTTGCTCGACTCCAGCGCAGCGAGGCATTGTGAGAGGACATCACTGAAGACCTGTGTGGGCCATGAGCAGCCACTCATATGATGGCATCCCAGTTATGGAAACTCGTTTGGGTCCCATGGTGCTAGTGTACCAGAGGTACAATCTAGATTGCCAACTGCGAATCACATGTTCGTGTCTTTGGAAAGAAAAACCGCATAATCATCCTCAGCAACAGTATCAACATCATTCAACAATACCGGTTTGACATGATCATCGCCGTAGTGCAACTCCCCACTACGGTTTTTACGCAAGAGAGCTCTATAGTGCCCTGGTGTTGTCGAGTTCCCCAAGTGGACAGCATAGGCATGAACAACATATTTAACATGGTGAACATCAAGCGTCACACATTGAAAACCGGTAACTGGATTGCTGTGCCCCACCTCAAAGCTGTCTTCACTTTGCTGATCGCACCTGAAGCAGTGAGTTGTTGAAAGCGGTTCAACCGAATCGCCAGCCATTGGGGAACTGACCACAGAGCGTGTAAGAAAGCCTGCCCCTTCCAGGCATTGACCAAGCCTTTAGATTCCAGGGCCCAGTAGTTGGAACATCGAGCGTCAGCATATTGGAATTATTGGAACAGTCGCCTGAATCATAAATGCAGGTTTGGCCGGCCTCAAGAAATCTGGCACTCCACGCCCCCTGGAATGGTGAAGATTGCATCCTGCAAATCAAATGTGAGAAGAACTCGCAAATATCATGCTGCCGACCACCATGCAACCATCCCTGCATCAGAAAACTCCACGGGGTAAGGTGATGAACTGTGAAGGCCCTCTCGCTGTACTAAAGTGGCATGCCAAGCATGCTGCCCCAAACCCAAACAGCTCACCTGAGAATCTTTGCGTCAAGCATCCAGGAAATGATTGGGACCAGGAAATTTACGCAGCATGTGCTGCCAGCATTGCGCAGCTTTGAGTGCAAGACTGACGTCGGAGAAGCCTGTCCAGATGCTCTGCCAGACCCTGTCTGCACTGTCTTTCCTGAGACGACTGCGCAGCAGCTTCAGCACCATATTGTCGCAAAGCTTCGTGAGATTGTGACACAGGTGCTTCCCCGAAGCTTGCACAGAGACCTGGACCGTGAAGCAAACCTCGCGACGCTCGGCCATCATCTCCATGTCTGCGCTCACAGGCTGTGACGCTTGAAGCTTGAGCCATAGTCATAGCCCCGGGCACTCGGACATTGGACTGCTCCCGCACACTGGTCTCGAGATCTGCCAAGGTCAGCAGAGTCGCCTTGGTTTCCACCAGCTCTTGCTTTGTTGGGCCCCACTGCTTGTACAGCCAGGACCCAGCTTCCGCACACCATCCTGCCTGAAGCGCTGTTTGCTGCACGCCCTCCTCCGCTACAGTCTTCGTCATGCTGGCCACCAACACCTATCCGCCAGCTTCAGGGTGAGCTTGGCCGTGGCGGTGGCTGCCTTCTTCTTCTCTATCGCCGCCGGTCCTGACGGCTGTAACTGGTTCCGCAGCAAGCGCTTGAAGAAGTTGAGCTCTGCTTCGTGAGCCATCTGAGGAAACCAGCGAAATGAGGATCGACTTAAGAATCACCGGAGACGCAACAACATGCGACTTAGGATCCTTGGAGATAGAGCCGCGCAACGTACATGGTACTTGTGTGTCGGCCACCTGTGACTCGCATAGCTTTTCAACCCTGTGTTTGCGAGAACTCCACACCATCTTGCGAGATTTGGCAAGGTGGATCTCGACTGCACGATTGGATGCGCAACATGTCCCACACGGACAACATCACTAAGCTAGCTTGAGCCTCCAACGCATGTCAGAGGCAAGTTTGCGCCATCCATGTTGCTGAATACGGGTGAGAACCTCAGGTTGCAGTATGAGAGGCACATCATGTGTCACTTCAGCCGCCGTTGAAGCAGCCGGCTCTACATGTGGCGGGACCCCCTTGGTAAGCTCCACTGCGGCTGAAGCTGAAGAAACAGGGTCGGCATCTCCCACAGGATTGGGGCACACTCCATGCTCAATGTGTTTTTGCCATCTGGCCCGTGAGCTCAACAAGACACGACATCCTGAGCATCGAGGTTCGCCATTGATGGGGTGCTTCAAACGACTAAACACCGGCTGGCAGGTTGGTGTTTTGTAGAGATGTGTGACCCCAAATCCGTTTGGTTGGGGAAGTCAAGGCTGCAAAAGGGGCACCGGAGTCGCGTCCGACCAGCTTGACTTTCTAGCTGCAGCTGCTCACTCAGGTCTTGACTCATTGGCCAATGCCTTCTTGCGCCTGGACGGGCCTGGGGCATTCACCCTCTTGATTGGCTTGCCACCTGTTAAAAAGACCCTCACGCTCTCTTCAACACCCAGCTAATTCAAGAGATCCTGGTTGCTGAGGTGAGTAATGTGAGTTGGCAGCCGCGCAATGGCCCTGAACTATTTCTGAACCAAGACCCGCAC